CTTTAATTCCCCACATGAATGTGGCTTTGGAGATGCACCCATGGCCCAGACCCCAAATGGTGTAGCCGTTTTCATCTGCCAGATAGGAGCTGCAGTGCTTCTTCATCACCCTGCTCTCCTGCTGGGAATCGCGGCGATGGACAGAAAATATTGCATGGAAAAACATTATTATTCACATGTACTTAGTGGTGTAAGGTGAGAATTTCCATCAAACGTACTACTCTGCTTATTTAAGCTACTCCCTGAAATTTGGAGCCTGGAAGTTGAAAGTTCTGCCCTACTGTTTCAGAATGACACAGCGTTCACAAAACCGTGGTGTTTATTGTAGAATCATAGAATGGCTTGGTTTGGAAGACACCTTAGATATCATTGAGTTCCAACAGTCTTGCTATGGGGAACTCTATTTCAGGATCTGGAGCCTTTAAACTAAGAAGGAAAACCCTTTTATGCCCAGCTCTTTGTGCATCTGTGGAATAGAAAAGCAATCTCTTCCCCGGGGAGAGCCTTACAGAATACTCTCATTTTTGGTAGTTTCAGAATATTGTTGATTTCACGGCGGATGGTGGGACAAGGTCAGGCATGGCACTAAACTACTGCTTCTCCATGAAGTTGCTACTGGGATTTGTAGATCCATTGTGGGTTGTGGGACAACAGAGAAACGTCTGGGCATTGATTTCCATCCACCACACTGGCACTTAGGTCTCTTGGGGGTGTGAGTCAGCAGTGTGTGGCTCTAAGGTCTTGATGGAAAAGGGATCAGGATCAAGCCTGGTGATTTCAGGGTGCTTCTGGCTCTCAGCGGGGCGAAGCTGCTCCCAGGGCCACCACAGTGGCTCTCCCAAAGCCACCAAGATCACTCAGGGCCCAGGAGAGCCCTGTTGTCTGTCTCAGGCCTTTAATGATCGCTGCTGTATGTTAACAGGCCATACCACATATAGCCCGGCTATTGTCAGCGCTGATCCTTGTCCAACTGACGGGCTATTCAAAGCGCTTCTCAAGCCTCTCCAAAATCCCAGCTTGTTCTACCCCGATGACAGCCATCCCTCCCATTCGGAGTTCTCTTTGTACGCTTGATAACATGGTGGAAATCCCTTATTATGCTTCTTTTAATAATGCTTTCACATGGCAAGGGGACATGATGTTTTAATTTATGCAGTGCACATCATCCTTCGACAATTTGCTAAGAGGAGCCCTCGCGACCTAAGCCTGCGCCGAATAACACAAGTTTATGCAAAACCAGTGGTTTCCAACCTGTGGTCTCCAGACCGCTGGGAACCGGCGGGCTCCTTCCGAGGGGTCACCAGGAGGTAACCAGGAAAGCAGAGCCGCTGCCGGGAGGTTCAAACGCGCGCCGCCGCGCACGGAGCCGCGCTGTCACCGGCGCAGGTCTGGGGCTCCCAAACTGCAAACTGAAAATCACTGTCTCAGGGGATTTCTTCCTTTTTTTTTTTTTTTTTTTTTTTTTTTTTCTTTGGTCTCTGTACTCAGTGCGCTTCGGCTGCAACCTCTGTGTCTTTAAATACCTGCTCAAGTCGATTAAAAGCAGTAAATTCAGAAATTCAGAGGGGTAACTACACTGCTACTTATGAGTTGTGTGAGTTGAAGTCTCACTTTGTTGTCAAAAAATAGCAATTAACCTTCAGATCCACTTGCTCTCCCCCCCACCCCCAAATTAATTTTGCAGTATTATCACGCATCTTGAGGCTTCCAGTTTTAAGCATATAATGCTTCTCCTGTTAATGAAGCGGGTATCCACGATCAAGGGGAGCTGAGAGCCACAGACAATTGTTTGTTTGCCTTTATTTCTCACGCCCTTTGAAGGTTTTTCTTTCTCCTCTGTGTTTTTTTGGTTGGGTTTTTTTCTGGGCTTTTTTTTTTTTTATTAAGTGACTTTAGCAGATTGTACCCTCAGAGCTGTGAATAATGGGGTTATTCTACAAAAATGGCCAAGGCTAGTTAAGACACACAAAGCCAGGAAATCCTTTCAGGGATGAAATCAGGACTATTTTAGGGGTGCCGTGTAAGTTGGAGACTTTGCAGCTTGGCTGCTGCATCGCTGCCAGGCACGGCAGCGCTGCGGGGACGACCGGTCCTCCCCCGCCGGGGGCTTGCCCGGCCGGGGGGGCCCGCACCTTCACCGCACCGGGGGGGGGCAAAGCCTGGGGGGATTTGCAAAGAACGGGGGATGCAAAGGTGTTCGTGTAAAGGAGGATGGGGGGTTCGCCAGCGCCAGGTAACTTTGCCCATGCAGCAAAGGAGCTTTGCTGGTGCAAGGGACGGGGGTTCCCCGCGCCGGGGGTGCGCATGGCGGGGTTCCCGTGCAGAAGGGGAAGGGGGTTCCCCGTTCAGGAGGGGGTTTTACGCGTGCGGGAGGTTATCCATGCAGGATGTGGGGGGGGTTATCCATGCAGGATGGGGGGGGGTTACCCGTGCGAGGGGGGCTCGCACCGCCCCCCCGCCGCCCTCCCGCGCAGGACCCCCGCGGCTGGGAAGGGGCTCGGCGGGGGCGGGACACTGCGGGCCCGCAGCGGGGCCGCCCGCCCGGCCGGGGGTGTGCGGGGGAGAGCGGGGGATGTCCGTGAGCCCCGCCGCCCCCCGGTGCGGGTCTCCTGTGCGAATCGCGGCGATTGCGGAAATACGCGGGGGCGGGGGGGAGGAGGAGGAGGAGGTGGAGGAGAAGAGGAGGAGGGAGGTGGGCGGGAGGCTGCCGAATCGCTCGTAACTTCTGCAAAGTCCCGGGCACTGAGAGCTCACCCGGCAGAGCGTGGAGATGCGGCGGCAGCGCCCGGGTGCGCCCGCCCCGAGCCGCAGCCACCAAAACCCCCAGATCAGCCCGAAACCCACGGGCAGAAAAAATCCCAACACATCCCACCTAAGAGCCGGCGGCAGTTGGCTGCGGCGGGTTTTCCCTTCCGGTTCCCAACGGCTGCGAGTCGATTTTAGCCATAAAAAAAAATATCAAAAATTGCGAAGAGAGAAAAAAAAAAAAAAAAAAGTGCCGCCAGAGCCCGCAAAGTTTCTCTATCGCTGTTATCTGTGTTATCCCTGTTATCCCTGCCCGTGGGACGCGGCGCCGCTTAAACTCTTGTTTTTGTATTTTTAACCCGATTCCCACGCTTTCGCAGAAGGAAATCGCTATTGTCTGCGCGGGGTCTGGGCGCGGAGGGAGCGCGGGCGCGCAGGGCTGCGCTGCAGCTGCCTTTTTTTTTTTTTTTTTTAAATCTTTTTTTTTTTTTTTTTGGTCAGGGATTTGAGAAAACCGCTGAGCTTGACAGATTCCCCCGCTTTCCCCCCTCCCCGCCCGTACGTGCGCGCCGGCTCCGTGCGCGCCGTCTGGAGCGCCCGCGGCCGCGCACAAAGAAACGCGCCCGGGCGCGGGATGTGACGGACCGCGGCGGGGACCAATGGGCGGGGCTGGGCCTTGTGACGTCACCAAGAGCTGTCCAATCAGCGGCGGGAGTGGGTGTTGCGACGTTTGAACTCCCCCGGGGGGAGGGGCGCGCCTTTTTTTTTCTTTTTTTTCCCTAGGTTTTTATTCTCCTTTTTTTTTTTTTCCCTCTCTCCTCTTTTTATTTTTTTTTCCCTCCTTTTTTTTTTTTTTTTTTTTTTTTTTTTTTTCCTTTTTTTTTTTTTTTTTTTTTTTTTTTTTTTGCCTTTTCCGCCGAAGTTGGCGGCGCCCTGCGGGGACGGGGCCGCTGGCGGGGCCGGAGCCTCGGAAACCTCCGGATTTAGCACCCAAAAAAAAAAAAAAAAAAGGGGGAGGAAAAAAAAAAAAAAAAAAAAAAAAAAAAAAAGCATTTTATTTAAAAAAAAACCAAAAAAGGGGAGGAGAGAAGAAGAAAGAAAAAAAAAAAGCATTTTATTTTAAAAAAACCTCCACGTTTAAAAATTTATTTATTTTTTTAAAGCATGCTTAGCAAAACGCTGAGTTGGGAAAAATGAGGATAACTTGCGCGCCCACCCGTTTAGCGCTCAGATATTCTGGGGTGGGGGAAGGTGCTTCGCTCTACCGTATTTTTTTTTGGGGAAGGGGGGTTGTCCGCGGCTGGGAAGGGGCTGCACTTGACCGTGGCCCCTGCCTAGAGGGCGCAACCAGCCGTCCCGCGGCCAAAAGTCTCCCGAAGGGCGCCAAAAGTTACTTAAAAGATAATGCTGGAAACCGCAAAAGGCTGGGAACGGTGCGGCACGGACGAGTGGGGGGACACAACCCACTCCCCCTCCACCTCCGAAACAAGCTGCGGGAGGGGATTTTTCCTCCTTTTCCCCTATGGATGGGGTTTTTTGCCCTGCCTGTGTCGCCGTCGTCGCCCCCCCCCCCCCCCCAAAAAAAAATCCTGTGACTACGCGCAGGGACGTGGGGGTCACCTAAACTGCCTCCGGCATCAGTGGAAAACGCTATTCCCAAGCGGAAAGGGGGGGACACACCACCCGGGACACCCTGCGAGTCCCCAGGAGCGGGCTGGAGAGCATCCAAACCCCAAACCCAAACGCTGCCGGTGCCAAGACAATGCGCTCCAGAAGTGTCAGGAGGCGCGGGGGTATTTTTAATTTTAAGCGCTTCACTTTTAGATTTCATAAGTAAGAAAGAGGGGGGAGTGCGATGTGCCGATGAATTTATGTGTTGCTATTTTTTAGAAGAAAATCTTTGTTTTTTTTAAAGTGGAATAAGCACCCTTGGTTCTAAAGCGCTTGATTTAAAATGACAAGTGCCAAAGGGGATGGGGAAAGTTGTGGAAGGCAACGCCGCTTCCCCCAGCACCCCCCTGCCCCATCCTTCCATGGTCAAGGGCCGAGCGGAGCCGCAGCCCCCGGGAAGAGCAAAACAAAAAAAAATAATATAAATAAATAACAATTATGATAGAAAAATACACAACCTCCCCCCCGTAAAAAAAGAGGAAAACTTTGAGCCGAGCCCTGCTCGCCTCTCGGCTCCGCGGCTGGCCGCGCTGCGGGGCGGCGGGGCGGAGGGAGGCGGCGGCGCCGCAGCCCCCTCCGGGCGCGGGGCGGGCGGTGCGCGGCGCAGAGCGGAGGGGCGCGGAGCGGAGCGGAGGGGCGCGGAGCGGGGGCGGCGGAGGGGCGCGCAGCGAGCGCTATGCCTTTAACGGCGCGCGGGGCAGGCATGCCGAGCGCGTAGTGCGGGAAAGTCGAGGCGGGGTTAAAGTTCAGCTCATGGAGCGGCTCCGCGCTGGCTGCAGTTTGGCAGAGTTGGAAATGTGAAAGCAAGAAGCAGGCTCGGGGCTCCCCCTCCTCTCCTCTCTCTCTCTCTTTTTTCCCCTCCTCTCTCTCCCTCTCCCTCTGTCTCTCTCCCCCTCTCTCTCTCCCTCTCTCCCCGCACACGCACACCTCCAAACCGCAGCCCCCCGCAGCAGTCATGTATTCTCCGCTCTGTCTCACCCAGGTAAGCGGCCGCCGGGGCGCGGTGGGGCCGGCGCTGCGGGGGTGCGCGGCCGTGCGCGCCGGGGAAGGGGCACCACCGCCGCTCGCCGAAACTAACTTTGTTGCCTTTCGCTCGCATCGCCCCCCCCCTCCACCCCCTTCCCGCACGGCCATTTGTGTCGGCACATGGCTAATGGCGCCTACTTATTAATGCTTTAATTAACGGGGGGGGCCGCGCGGGCGCGGTGCTGCGGGACGACCCGCACGGCCCCGCCGTGCTTGGTCATCCGCGATCGATGCCGCCGATGCCGCCGCCCGCGCCGGAGCGCCTCGCACCGCCCCGCACCGCGGCCCCGGGGCAGCGCTGGAGCCGCTGCGCCGCTCCCCGCCAGCGCCCCGGGCACGGAGAGAGGGACCGTCCCCCGCACCTGGGCTCGCTCCCGCGGTGCGGCGCGGTGCAGCCGCCCCCGCGCGGAGCGCCCTCCGCACCCGCGGAGGCCGCCCCAGCCGGGGGACCGTGCGCGTGTCCCCCCACACGGACACCCGCAAACTTGTCCCGCGCGTGTCGCCTGTCCCCCCCGCCACCCTCCCGCCCGCGGATCGGGCCCCGCGGCGCTCGGCGCAACTTTTGCGCCCTCCGCTCGCGGCGGGACGGGGCTGCGCGGGGAGTGGAGGCGGGGGTGTCGCTCCGCGGAGCCCCCCGGTTGCGCGGCCGCGGAACCCCCGGCCCCCCTTTTCCCCGCTCGCTGCTGCAGGACGCTGAATTACACCCCTTCAATTAGCAGGATATAATGGTTTAACGAGGAAATGCTTTGTGGCGGACTCAAACCCCAGATTATTTCCTCCTGCAGGAGATTTTGACTACATTATTCTTATTAATTTAATTGGAATATTTTTTTTCTCCCGGTGAGAAAGCCTCTCCGGGCTCTTTCCGTCGAGAAAAAGGCAAGGAATTGCAGGGAGAGGGGCGGCAGCTTCCCAGGCAGCCCGAAGAGCTCTCAAAGTTTCGTCCCCTTCTCCAGTCGCGGTCCCCTCTCCTTCCCCAGCCTCCCCCAAATTTTGGGGTGCTGGCGAGAAAACACCAGGCCGGCGGGGGCACGAAACTCCAAACCGTACACTTGCTCAAAAGGCAGGAGGAAAATGTGAGCAGCGGGAGTTTGCAGAGGATGGGATGCAGCAACTCCGGGCTGTGCCTGGGCAAAGTTTGTGCCTTTAATTCAACTCTTGAGAAATACCTGGTTTTTGTCAGCGCAGCGGCTGCAGGAGGGACCCCCGGACACTCCGTGCAGGGCCCGCAGCGCCGACACTCTTGGCATCTCCACGTGGGGCTCCTGGGGCTCAGTAGGCCCAGTCGCATATTAAGGAGAGAAAATAAATCCATGGGCTGGTTGCTCCCTGGTCCAGTTGGGTCCTGTCCCTGTCGTCCCCCCTCACCCCGCGGCTTTTTTTTTTTTTTTTTTTTTTTTTTTTTTTTTTTAATTTATCAAAAGAAAAGCAGAAAGCCAGGCATGTGCTTTGACTCCGTTAGGAAAATCTGGCATTCTTGCTGCACGTTTGGAAAAGTAATAGGAGGATTAGAGGCCTCCTGACAAACTCTTCCCTCCGAAGGATCAATTAGGTGATTCTGTAATTTTTCCATAGAAAAAGGGGGCGAGCCCTGAGCTATTGCAAATAATTTCCTATTTTATCGTTTCAAGAGCTTTTATTGATACAAGTTTTAGGAAGGATTTTTTTTCTTTTTCTTTTTTTTCTTTTTTTTTTTTTTGGTCAAGTTTTGGTTCAGATTTAAAGGGAAGCTCTTGAAAGTGGGTTAGAAAAGGAAAACAAACAGAAATCCTGGTTCTGAGCATATTTATCCAAGCCCTGGAACCAAAATGGCACAAGCATTTTGTGTCATCTGTCAGAAAAAATCCAAACATTGTTCCATTTACATATCTGCTGAGGAGCTAGGAAATAGTTGGGGAACATATGCACATCTCCTCATAGATTTACAAGCAAATGGATTGTAAAAATATTAGCAAGGGTCGCTGTAGTTGGTTAATTTCAAAAAGATCTGCAGAAATACATTGTTTCAAAGCCTCCTTTGCAGGATTACATTATCGAAGGCGCCTTTGGGTTGGCGTTGGGGCTCTTTTGTCCTAGGGTTTTTGTTTTGTTTTTCTTAACACCTTTTTGGAGAGCTGAGGAGAATTTTGGGATAAACAGTACATAACTGTGCAGCCCAAATTTTAGGTACTGCTTAGAGATAGGCAGCTCTCGGAAGAGCTGTATCCTCAAACTTCGGAGAGGAGTGCAGTAAAGAAAAGCCCAACTTTTTATTATTGCTTTGCCAGCTTTCTGGTGTCTTTTATTTTTAGGTAACCCATCCAACACTGAGGGGGGAAAGCAAACAGCTTTATCAAATACTTTTAAAGTTTCCCTTCAAGCTAACTTGTGGAAAGGGAAAGATCATTGCCTTTTCTACCAGTTCTTTAAAATCCTGCTGTTTTGCAGCAAGGCTGCAGGCAAGTTGCACATCTGTTAGCACACTTGCACTGACACATTTCCAAAACTTTTTGGGTTTTTTGAGGGGGCTGTAGCACCACTGAAATAAAAAATTGTATTGTGCAGAAGCTGCTCCCCCCCTCTCCGTCCCCGCGTCCAGCCCAGTTCTGTTTGATCAGTCCTGGCTGCTTTTATTTCCACTTGGACTTTGCTAATACCTCAGCGCCGAGATTGAAGCGGTGCGATTTTCCGGAGCAGCGTGTTTACCAAGACACTTTGAAAGTTGGTCTGTTTATGAGTCGTTAACCTTTTCTCCTCATACACCATTTTGAAAAGACACATTAGGGTGTAATAGGGACGTGCACACCTCGCGCCTGAGCAGCAGTGCTTCTCTTTTACTTCAGCCACAGACCCTGACTTTGCACCAAAAAAGCATCTTGGTTTTTTTTTCCCCCTCCCTTTGAAGTGGTTTAGTGTTTTTTTATAAAGGGGTTTTTTGGGGTTTTTTTTGGGTGTTGTTTTTACCTCCCCTTTCAGGTTCACATCGTAGAAATCAGCTTTAGCGCAGGTTAAAGCAACTCTCTCTTGGATGTTATCCAACGCCAAGCCAAAAAAGTCCCGAGCACATGAGATCAGGCAGGACAAAGCGCTGCTTAAAGCAGAAAAGTTAAAATATTTCAGGATGTACCAAGACGTGTTTGGAAAGTGGGAAGGCTGGAAGCGCTGCCCTGGCTCGCTGTGGGCTGTCGAGCCTCTTTGCTCTGTGTACCTTCACAGATAAACTTCCACTTGACAAAAGGCCTTTTTTCCTTGACTCTCCCTGAGTGGGGAAAGGGAAGGACAGGAGGGATCAGGAGGGAGGGTTTATTATTTTTAATAGCTTGTAGAGACCTGTAGTTTTTATATTTTTCTTCTTTTTCCCCCCCTTCCTCCCCCCACCGTGAGAGCTGTGTCTGGTGGGTGAGAGCAGCTCCATGTGCTGGGACTGTGCCTCCTCTCACTTTTTGAATCTGCCGACTGCAAACTCGCAACAATCTTTTTTTTTTTTTTTAAACTTTATTGAAATTTGAAACTATCATCTTTTCCCATAGAGGAGGGTAAAAAAAAAAAAAAAGAGGAATGTGCCAATCACTGGAGTGATTTATTTTATTTTACCTGCTTTTATTTTAATAATCATTCATGGTACTTTGATTGCTGCCGCTCTGCTCTAATGAAATATATTGTGCTGCTAGGAAAGTTTTTAACAATCTGTGTTTAAAATAAAAATAAATGCAATGGTGCTACCTATAGATTTAAGTATCTATAATTTTGGGGCCACTAAGAATAAGTGCAATGAAGGCTTTGGGGGCGTCAGCAGAAGGTCTTGAATTATGACAGGATTTTGCTGATAGATTTTTCTACTATTGATTTCTCAATTTTTCATAATTTCTGAAAAGAACAATGCAAATTAAAGTGTTGAAAAGAAGTAAGATGTCTGTTTTAATAACCATATTTGCATGACCCACAATGATTTGAGTAGAAAATGTACTCCATGGGATAATTAAAGAAAAAAAAAGTTAGTTTGCTAATCCGAAAAATCCCCGATGTTTCCTCACACAGGGGTGGGTAGCGGGTGGCTTTTCCCATGCTGGGGAAAACGTTGCAGAGATTACTTTATTTTTCCCTCCTGGAGGGCCCAATCCTGAGAAAAGGAGGAACTGGAAGCAGGGACGTCCCCAGCACGCAGCGCTGGATCAGGCCCATAGGCTGGATACGTTTTTATGTGCAGCCTTGAGCTGGGTCATTCATTTATTCAGGAAAAAAACAAGAAGCATGAACCCAGTATATTATAATATGTTTTGATCTCTTTGGCTGATTTATGTAATACTTAGTGAGGAGAAAAAAAAAAAAAATTATTTAAAAAAAAAAAAAATCAAGGGGTCTTCTGGCCTTTTTTTAGCGTCAGCATAATTTTAATTGCGATTTTTTTTGTGCCAGGGGAGAGGGGTGATCTTTAACTCCTCGTTACACAAAGCAAGCAGTGTCTCCGGATGGCCAAACTAACTTTCCGAGTAGGACATTTCTTTTTAAATATCTGAAAGTCTGACACAATTAATAATTCTTTGTGTATTTGCACAAGTTGTGCTGCAGTTTTCTGTTACCGCATTTTTCAATTTTTCCTGTTTATTTGGGATTTTTTTTTTTTTTAATTTTATAGAAAGGCTCAGAGTTTGACTTTCCCTAATATGCTCAGATAGCAAGTTTTTTGGGTTTTGTTTTGTGGGGTTTTTTTACTAAATATAAACAATTTTTTAAAAAAAATATAAATTGCAAGGCTTGCTTTTTCTAGGGTTTTAGTGTTGGTTATGATTGCGCTCGCGGGATAAATCGACCGCGGTACTTCTCGCGCTCCCTTCACTGTTTAGGAACCAGAGTGAAAACCACCCTTCATTGTAATTGTATATACAGCTATAGTGGCATTTTACTATTCTGCCGGCTGCTATTTCCAAATATATCTTAGGGAAAGTTTTACTATACTTTAGACTTCCCCATACAAACATTGATTGGCATCCAAATGTTTAGGATTTGCCAAATTGGCGGGCAAATGCTGGCTACACTGCAAGCAGCGGGGTCAGGGAGAGAGCAAAGGGAGATACGCGCTCTGCAAGTGGACTTGCAAAGGAGTTTTTGGCTTTTAACTCATTCTGCCCTTTTTTTAAATTTTTTAAAAAGGTTTGGGAACTGGGGAAAAGGTGCCAGCATTGCACCATCTCCATCTGGGCGCTTGGTTGAAGTTGGACCCTGTTTTTGGGGGGCGGGAGCGGAGGTTTTGGGTCGGCGCGAAAGGGAAGCGGGGATGTGGCAGTGGTGGGTTTGGGGTCCATTAGCAAGGGGTCCCACAGCCCTTAAAATTTATCAGCACCCTCCTAATTCTCTCCATCCCGCAAAAGCCCTCTTTTTGAAGGCTCTTTCTTGATGGTTTCGGTGGCATCAACCCTTCTCTGTAACTTTTTTCAGGATGAATTTCATCCCTTCATCGAAGCACTTCTGCCTCACGTCCGAGCGTTTGCGTACACATGGTTCAACCTGCAAGCCCGAAAAAGAAAATACTTCAAAAAACATGAAAAACGCATGTCAAAAGAGGAAGAGAGAGCCGTGAAGGACGAACTGCTAAGTGAAAAACCCGAGGTAAAGCAAAAATGGGCATCCAGACTTCTGGCAAAGCTCCGGAAAGATATCAGGCCTGAATTTCGGGAGGATTTTGTTCTCACAGTCACAGGAAAAAAGCCTCCGTGTTGCGTTCTTTCCAATCCAGACCAGAAGGGCAAGATGAGAAGAATTGACTGCCTTCGCCAGGCAGATAAGGTCTGGAGGTTGGACCTTGTTATGGTGATTTTATTTAAAGGTATTCCGCTCGAAAGTACTGATGGCGAGCGCCTTGTAAAGTCCCCACAGTGCTCTAACCCCGGGCTGTGCGTACAGCCCCACCATATAGGAGTTTCTGTTAAGGAACTCGATTTATATTTGGCATACTTTGTGCACGCAGCAGGTAAGTGCCTTTCTCTACCACCTTCTCCAACTTTTCGGTTATCTCCGTGCCGGGTGCCGTGCCCCTGTGGCGGCTGCATGAGCCGGGGAGGGAGCTGGGAATGCCGGTTATCACTCTCCCGGGGTGGCGAGGAGGGTGCCAAAACTCCCCCCCTCACTTTAATTTTATTTTTTTTTTAAATGGGGTTTTTAAGGTGCAGCCATATATAAGTGGCTCTTGTTTTCCGCGGTTAACAGCATTTCGGGCATCCTTCACAGGTGTTATCCTAAATGTTGTCCGAGGAGGGCTCGCAGCCGGACGCGGCTTCCTTTATCCTAATTTTGGGGGAAAGCAGATAGATTTTAATTAATTTATTTTTTTTTTTTTAAATAAAGTTTGCATATGTTATGCACAAAGTTGTCCAGGAGGGCTAGAGATGCCTGAGGCCTGTGGGTCAGGAGTACTAGGTATCCTCACCCCACGGGGATTAGGTCCTGTAAACCCTGCAGGATTGGAGGGAAAAGAGAAGACAGTCCCTTGATAGCAAACCTAGTCATCAGGTCTGAGTGGGCATGAAACAAACCTCTGGGTAACCCTAGAGGGAAAAGGAGACATTTAAACCCCTTAAAAGATCAAAATTTATACACCTAAAAGCTAAGCAGGTCTTGAAAAAAATTCCTGATTTGACAATATTGTGCTTATGAGGAGGGACTGAGATGTTTTAACGTGTGATGAAAATCTTGGGATCCCAGACTCCAACACAAAGTATGCTCTGCCTGCGGCGTGACTCGGCGTGCTCAGAGGATGTGTAGTATGTTGACTGGGTAAAATAATACGCTATTGTAGTTCTCCTGAGTGATTGTAGTGCAGAAAAATGTGCGTGTGTGAAGTGCAATGCCCCATGTTTCATGTACGGGACGTGTGGGTCCCCCAGCATATCCTGACTTGTGAGCTGAGGGGCTGGACAGGCTGGAAAAACAGAGGAGCAGGGGAGAGAGGAATCACATTAGTAGAAACCACTTCTGTATAAATATTTATTGGTAAGAAAACCAAGCAAATTACAGCCCAGGGAGCCTGCATTTCCCATGCCAACTTCTTTCAGAGGGTCCTGCAGAAAGTTTCGGCTTCCCCAAAGTTTTTCTGCGCTGAGTCCCTGCCATGGTTGTTGTGTTAGGCAATGTCGCCGCTGGGATTTTACAGATATGATCCCTGTTCGGAAATAACTTTTGAGTATCCTCATGGTATTTCCTACAGATAAGCTGCAGCATTTACTTTGCACTTCGGTGTGAGGTGGTAAATCATACAGTACATTTATGGTGTAAAGGGAAGTAGGCAAATATTGAGGAAAATTATTTATTTACTCTGCGCTTTATTATGGCCATCATGAAGGAAGCGTTATGGATAAATGGCTAACTGAAGGGAGCTTGGGCCTGGGGCATTTCAGGTCACCTCCTGTTCCATCACCAACCCCGAGGGGACCATCCCTTTTGTCTGCCTCAGTTTCCTCCTCCGCGTGTTGGAGTGGGTTGATAAATTTAAAATGCTTTGATATCCAAATAGAAGCTATAAATGTCCATTTACTGATCTACAGCATGCAGGTTTTTATTATTTGGATTTATATATAGCACGATGCGGTAAATACTGATCCATATTGTATTTCCCAGGCCCTCCGTGGAGCTCAGAAATTGTTGATAGAAACCAACGGTCTTGGCTTAGCTTGCATGTAGGGTCACAGAAATGTAGGATGGGGAGAAAAGGACCAAACCCAGTGGTGGGAGTATTTCGGGGACCTCTCCCTGTTATAACAGTCGGGCAACAGACGTTATGAAAGTTCAATATTGCGATTAGGGATATACCATCTTATCAGCACGCCGGTGGCAAACAGTAGCCTTGATAGCGAACTGTTATTTATTCCTACCATCATCATCAACAGGCAGCGATCACACCGATTGTCCTTCAGATTTGGTGTTTGCCACAGAAACACGTCGCGAGCCCTTGGCGTGGTTTTTGGGGTTAGATTTGGGGATTTGTGTGAGCAGCCGCGCGCCCGTGCAGAGCGCACCGCGCGGTGTTTTCGGCCGTTGTTTGCTGATTGCACGCATTGCATTGTGCTCTCAATGCAGGAGTGTGTGCTGGCATATTCCTGCTAAACCTCAGCGGGGAGGGGAACAAGATGTTTTTTGGGAGGTGGCACAGCGTGGTCACGGTCTATATGGCTTCGCAGAGGTGTACCAAAAGCCTTGCGTAGAGCTACCTCTTTTTCTTCCCCCGTTTTTTCCCGTTTTTTTCCCCCCTCCGATGTATCCCAGCAGTCTTTGTTACACCTGAACATTGGCCAAGTTGACAGCCATTGGTTCCCGCAGACCCGCAGTAATGGCAGCTTGTGCCGGGTGCGCAACAGGAAAATTACAAAAGAAAAAAATATTAAGGGTCCTTTGTCTCCAACTCCATCAGACCTCGCTCCCCAAATGTATGGACCACGTATTTATAAGGAGGAAGTCGCCAGCGCAAATATTAGGTAGGCTGGTCAACTTACATATAGCGGATTTGACAAGCATCTGCTATAGTACAGAAGATTTGTAAACACTAAACAATGTTTTTACCTCCTTAAAAGTTTTGAGAAGTTGCCAGTATTGGCAGGAGGCACAGACTCCGAAACGTGCTTGAAGATACGTGCCAAAACCATTGTGACCTTTTCACCCATAGTGCTCGCTTCTCTTTTTCTTGTGGGGTTTTTTTTTCCCCCTACTTTTTGTCTTCTTTTCTTGGGGGGAGTATTCTGTTCCAAGATGCCCTTATTCGAGATGACTTCGGCAGCAAGATGTCCCTTTCCTTCTAAACATGTAGGATAATTATTGCTTTGAATCCACGCTTTTCCTTCAGTAGGCACTATCATCTGTAAGGGAACACATGTGCACAGATTTAAATAGTGCTTCTTACAAAGCTACTGAAATCAATTATTCTCTTTAAGAACTGGCTAGAAAGAGAAAACAAAAATATGCAAATAGGCAAACTACATGTCATTTTCATTAAAAGGATAAAAAAAAGAAATTAAAAAAAAAAAAGGAAAGGAAGATCGGTGCTTTGTGAATTAGAGGTTGACCAAAAAATGTATTGAAATCTAGAGTATTGCTCTCAGTTTGCAGTTTCTAATCTGCTTAACTAAAAGCAGGCGGCATTTTCATACCCTGAACTTGGGTTTGCTTTTTAGTTTTCACTTATTCTGCTCTTGTATCAAATGACAAGTTGGAAACCATTGTGGCAAACCGTTTTCTTTGTGGGAGTCGAACAGTAAAGCTAATTTATGACCGGTCCTTTACCAGATGATCTGTATCAGAATCTACAATATACTAGGCACGTGGCAAGGTCACAATTTAAGTTGTTAAGGTCACAACCTTAGCCACCAGGCATTTGACCTTTTAGATAAAGTTAACCTTTGTTCATTAGTAGGCACTCAACCGAGAACTTTCTGGAGTTTTTTACTGCTTTGGAGTTCCTCCTGCTAATGTGGTCAGATTGGAGAATAGAATCGCAATAGAAGTAGTTAAATTTTCTGAGAGGTCACAGTTTTTAGAGACTTCTCCAGTGGCCGAAGCGGGATGGTTGGCCAGGAGGCGATGCTGCAATGCCCGGTTTATTTTTTTGGCCGGCCATCGTTATGCGCTTCGGGCGAGTATTAAACTCGCGAGGTATTTGTGGCAGAGAAAATCTTTTAATCTTTCAGAAGGACATTTAAAAATCCCAAATTTAAGAAAAAATCCGGGGCTAGGTTTTATTTACGTAAGCTCATTTTTCTGTTCACGTTTAGACTCGAAGGCAGCGAAGGTGCCAGAACTCAGCCTTAATTTTTGCGTCTGAAAATTTACTTAACTTCTAGATGTGCTCCGTGGCTAATTGCTGGGCAGTGGTATGTAGCACATGACCTTGAACTTTAAGCTCGACCCATTTTATGTTCCCATCAACAGACTTAAAATATTCTCCTTGGACGACCATAAAGAGGCATCGATGGGAATAACCCAAAGATGGGTTAATGCAGAAGCCCTCCTGTACCCGTGGAGGTTTCGGGGGGTCCGAGAGGTACCCAAGGCTTTGCGCTGTAATCTTTTAGTACAATTGGTATTGATTGTTGCTGCATTAATCCTGTTAATAGCCGCAGCCGGGCCGGGTGTCGCAGGGGTGGCAGAGGTGTCCTGACAATACCGTACGTCACTGAAAGAGCTGTCGCAGCGCCTTGAACTCCTGATCACTGCTCTGCAAAAGTGGAGCGTTCGACGGTGGAAACTATTGCTGGCGCATACAGAAACACACACCATATTGTTTACTTAATTATGCCGGAGCGAAGGCTCATTTTTAATTATTTAGCTGACTTTCTCGCTCTTCTCTGATACCACATTTATTATTTAATTTGAAATCAAAAGGGCTTGCGCTGCTGTTAGTTTTTGATGCGTTTTACTTTTGTTTTGGCTACGTTATTGTCATTCCATCGTACGGTAATCCAGATAGCCGTGATATGCAGATTGGCCAGATGGTCATGTTAACAGATTGAGAACCTACTTCCCACTGCTAAAGAGCAGGTGTAAGATCAGTGGGCTTTTTTTTTTTTTTCTTCTTCTTCTTTCCTCCCAAGTTTCAACCAAAATGCTCTTTAGACAGATCATAATGGTAGCTAAAAAGGGGCACATTTCAAATGGTGTTTGTTTTGTGGAGATAATGCGTAATGTATATGTCATTTTTACGCCTATCTGAAGACTTTTAAACACCCATGACACTCCCTCCACCTATAATGCTTTGGAAAACCTAATTCCAGCTCATGGCTGTTCCAGTCTATATCCAAAACAGTCCTTAAAGTTTTTTTCTGCAGAGAGATTGCATTTACTCTTACCAAAAAATCACTTCAGGCAGCTTCGCAGCAGGTATCTCACACCTGCTCCCTGCACAGGGCTCCCAATGCATGCCCAGGAGAACCCGAGCAGATCAACGGTCAGCTGAGATTTTAGTGTATGTGGGCTGATAGAGTTGTT